GAGTCAACTTAAAAAACTTTGTTACCCCGCTGCCTTAAATTTTTTTGTCAACTTGACAATATATGGTGTATGTGCAATTGTATCAACATGCGTTTTCTAGTTGAAACAACAGTTATACTAGTTAATTCAACTTTTAGCTTAGTTGAGGACAATTAAACTTAAATGTTCTTGTTGTCTGGACAAGTTCTACAAATTTAGTTGTGTCTACAAAAAAAAAAAAGTTGAAATGGCAATTATTTTTTACAGTGTACATAGATGCCCTTGAGGTAAGCTAAAACATACCAATAATTAATTTTAAAGTGAACTATCCCTTTAAACAAGCCTGATGGACTTGATGAGCTGGATCGGGTATTTAATTAGGTTTGAAGCCAGAGGTGGACAAAGTACACACCTTCCTTACTTAAGTGAAAGTACAGATACTACTGGTCAAATATTACTCCGTTACAAGTAAAAGTTGTAAAGACCAATTTGTATTTAAGTAAAAGTACAGAAGTACTCGTTTTTAAAAGTCCTTAAGTATCAAAAGTAAAAAGTAAATGTCAATGGATTGTTTTATTATTGTTGCTTTGTTATATGTAATATTTGCCTCTGAAGCTATAAAACCTATAGAAATTAAACAACTTAATTGACAAAAAAAGACAGCCATAATCATCTTAATTTTTTTTATTTAACACTCCTACCACCCCCACAAAAGAAGTACACACGTGTATCCATTCATGCACATTTGAATCAAGTGGTCTGTAAAAATCCAACCTGCTTTAAAACCCAGCTATACAACCATAGCCCAACAGCAATACTGTTTTAACAAACAGCAAAACAGAAAGACCTATTTGCCATGGATGCGCGCACTGCACAGAGGATCTCCCTTTGTCCATTTTGCCACCAGTTGATTAGTGTTCAAAGAAAATAATGGGGAATCGCTGAACTTCACGACACGTGACCCTACAAGAGTGATTACTGATAGGCTGTCTGTCACCTGCAAAAATTCAATCACGTTTTAGAGATGAAAAAAATCATCCCCTGACTGACATTACTAATTTCTACTCAAGGACCTTGACAGAAATGTAGTGGAGTAAAAAGTACGCAATATTTGTCTTTCAAATGTAGTGAAGTTAAAGTAAAAAGTTTCCAGAAAAAAGAATACTCAAGTAAAGTATACAGATACTCAAGTAAATACACTGTGTTACTGTCCAACTCTGATGACAGAGACCCCGTTGTAATATCCTACAAGGTAAAAAAGAAAAAAAAGAAAAAAGGATGACATCTAGTTGAGAAGACTAGTAATAATATTCACGTTAATCAGATATTGGTTGTGTCAAAAATCCTCCTTATACCCTCATATCAATATATATATTTTTTCTAGAACACAGTTCCAGTAGTGGGATTGAATGTGAGATTGAATAAGTTCACTCAATAATGTCTAATGGTTTCAGACACCCAAATGCTGTTCCCTCAAATTGTGCCCTATTAAAGTCTCTATGAAACGTTTTTTTGGCTTTTAGTATGAATGTTAGCCTTACTGTTATCTATAAGCTAGTGTGCTCCAAAACAATGACAATTCGCATTTAGAAGACCAAAGCAACGTTGAAAAGGAAAATCAGGTTGATGTCAGAAACCAACGTCAGATTGGTTTCTGACTTTCATTTCCAACCAAAAATCCAATGTCTGTCCGACCAAACTGACGTTACAACTTTCTACTCAAGGAACTTGACAGTACTGTAGATGAGTAAAAAGTACGATATTTGTCTTTCAAATGTAGTGAAGTTAAAGTAAAAAGTTTTCAGAAAAAAAATAATACTCAAGTAAAGTACAGACTCAAGAAGTGTACTTCAGTACTCAAGTAAATGTTCTTTGTTACTGTCCACCTCTGTTTGAAGCTAAACTCTGCAGGGCTGTAAACCTCCAGGAACTGAGTTTTGCACCCCTGTCATACAGTGTCATGCTCTCCTGTCAAAGTTTAATTGTGCAAAGAGACACATTTTTGTTGTACAAGAGAGAAGCCAAGAAGCGGCGGGTTGAAACTGAATAGGACTAAACTGTGTACATAATATTTTTGCCTGTTTTCCCCACAATAAATTTAATTTAAATTACCCATATATATATAAATATATATATATATACATACACACACACACATATATACGTATATATATATATATATATATATGTATATTCAAGAGGGATCATACAAAATGCAAGTTATTCTTAATTTAGAACTGTCCTGAATAAGATATTTTATATAAAAGATGTTTACATAGTCCACAAGACAAAAAAAAAAAAGCTGGATTTATAAAAATGACCATGTTCAAACGTTTACATACCCTTGATTCTTAATACTGTGTGTCATTACCTGATTAATCCAGGCACATAACTGTTTTGTTGAGTCCCTTGTTTGTTCTGAGCAGTTAACCTGCCAAATGTTCATTTTTTTGGTGATTCTTTATTTAATAAACATTTTGTGTATAACTATTTACAACAAAGCCCAAGATCCGCCCACAACCATAAGACTAAATTAAAATAAATAGAATGATCTCAAAGTCTCAAGATTTTAAACTTTTTGATCAAGGCTCAGTAAGGTCCAACCAAAATTGTATTGTCTTTCTCGCTTGTCCAATGTTCTTCAGAGAAATTCTTCAGTTTTCCAGCATCTTTTGCATATTTGAACCCTTTCCAGCAATGACTGTATGATTTTGAAGGTGGGTCAGCATACACTGAAAAAAATTGTTGTAATTTTGAAACTATTTTCACTGAGAAAGACTGAAATAGTATTTTCTTGTAAAACATAGTTCAATAATCTTTGTTTTATTTACAACTGCAAACTATTTTTTTTAGTGTAGCTGTATTGTACTTTGAAGGTCTACATGAAATAATATTTTTTGCCATGTAAATGAGTACTCACAAAGTCTCAAAAGTATTTAAGTTGTTTTTAGTAAAGTACAGATTCCACACAATAATTAAACATGTTAATAATGAACTGATTCTGAAGTGTTTGAATGGTAAAGACTGCTATTCCTCGTTTTGCCTTCTAATCAGAGTTATTTTACGTTGATTAAAACAAAGAATCGAACCTCAAACAAACTGAGCTCCAATACTAGTAAAGACAGTTAAATGTTAACACCATTTTATCAAACACTTAATGCTCAGCCAAGCATGCTCTCTCTCTATGAAAAAAATAAAAACAACTCAATATAATGACGCCATTGTTCATCAGTCTCCCAATGGAAACAGGCTGATTGTCTATCAGTCTGACAGTGTCCTCCTCAGTCCCCTGACAGTCTCCCGCAGACAGTTTGCTCTAAAAACGTACTTTGAAGTTCGCTCGGAAAATGAATGCGAGAACACCATCATCTCGTAATAGTGGAATAATTTGACTGCTACAACCAGGGCTGCGTTTCCCGAAAGCATCATAAGCCTTAGTTGACCGTGGAACAATTGCCATTGTCTCTTTGATAAATTTAGGCTTAAGATGCTTTTGGGAAACGCAGCCCTGGCTGTTAATCTAGTTTAACATTGTTTAGTAATCATTGATTTTAAGCATTTGCTATTGAATCAACCAAAGCGACAGTCACATATCTCTGGCAGAAATAATAACCACCCAAAATAGTTAGCGCAGAATTTAACACAACGCTGAGGGACTTTCAACAAAACAATTGCTAAAAGTGAAACTTTCACTCATATATGATTATTTGAAAATGTGTTTATTAATAATAGTAAATGCAATAACTCTTTCAGACTTTATAACATTTAGATTATATATCGGAGGCCAGTGACAAACATCTCAAACAGAATCATACTTTATCAGCATTAAAACACACAAGCAAACAATCTATTTATTCAAACATTATAAGTGGAAAAAATACACCACAGCAAGACACGTGGCTTAATCAAAATTGGAAGTTTGGTCCATGGCAGCTTATTTTGGCCAAGAACCGCCCACTCAGACAGGAAGAGGCCCCCTGATTGACATGTAAACTGACCAACCATGTTTGTTTTATATGTGCCCTTTAGGGCTTGGATTATTTGAAATGGATAATATAATAATAATAATAAAAGACTGAAAAATGTATGGGGCTCTGCTCATGACATACAGAGGGAAAAATACCCCAATATATTGTGGCCATGACTTATTAATTAGTTTGCTTGTTTTAGTTAAATCATAGCTACGTTGTACTAATTCATTTGCCTGTTTTTATGAAATGAGAGAACACATTTTTACAACGTGGACACAATTTAACTAAAACGAGGGAACTAAATAGTACAAGTGTAGCAACGAATGAACGAAAACTAAATAAAACATAATATTTGGTGGGAACGAATTGTGAATTCATGGTCATTCTGCCGCTTGTCATGTGTGGTGCTCCATAAAATGAAATCGAATAGGTGCACCATTCTGACTGTTTCCATCAATGGCGGCACAAAAACACCAAAAAATAGCAGAAAATGTGATTGTAATCTGAATTTCTGTCTGAAGTTCTATCATGGACATAATTCAGAAAACAAAGCTGAATGTAGTTCTGCTCATGGATATATAGTTAACTTGCTACTAATTTGCTCAAGCCAAACCCTGATGTTATGCAAACTTTGTCAAATCCAGGGATTAGTTCTTTCTCATTGTATCAACTCTTAACATGAACAGCTCAGACTGTAAAAAAAATCTATGTGCCTTTATTCCCAAAAGTGGCTAAACACCTGCCAATCAGATCAGAACTAGAGATGTTATTTTTGTGTGCAATAAGCATCAGCCGGTCACTGAGCGGATTGTGGGTGGTCCATGGGCCTGCCGTCCGAGGCTGAGATTAGATCCATTGCTGCTTATCCCACTAAATAATCCCATTGAATTATTTACAAAAAGAATCTATTTTCATGCTGGACGTCTGTGGGTGCAAATATTCACCTTGGCCAGCGAATATTTAATGGTGCATTAAATGTCTGTTCTCTGTCCAGTTGTCTGGCTTTACACACACACACACACACACACACACACACACACACACACACACACACACACACACACACACACACACACACACACACACACACACACACACACACACACAGAGAGATAAATGCTTTCTCTCTGAAGCTGGAAGTCAGCCAAACTGGAGGATTACAAGCTGAATCTCCATCACAGAGTGTTTCATCCATCACTACAGCACTCCAGCAGTCATTGAGAAAGGAGAAGGCAGAACATCGCACAGCACGTCTTCTCAGATGAGAGGATGTCCCTTATCCCCTCATATCCACTGCCTTTGTGAGTGTCCGGACACATAGCGTACATCACCTCCCCCTGTTGACGTCTTTGGTCAGGGTGTTGGTGGTGGGATTAGATGGCGAGCTTGTTTGGGATTGACCGAGCCGTTGTCTCACCAGGGTCCGCTGGAGCTCGGCTCGCCTGGCAAGGGCGGCCCTGAGTTGGCCGCGAAACTCCTCGATCCTCCCGTGCAGCTCCCGCAGCTCCTCTTCCCACGGCGTTGACTGTCCTGTGCAGGCCGGGGGGGAGAGCACCAGGCTAAGACTGAGGTTAGGTCCGCCATTGGAACACAACTGGGTAGGCGGGCTTCCCACCAACCCCCTACGGCCCCTTTCTGGCCCAGGGGGTGGAGCTTGGAGCTGGTAGCTGTTGAGAGTCTCCAGGTTAAAGTGGACATGCTTGTTATGTTCTTTGGCCTCTCGACCAGCCTTGACACTCTGATTGTTCCACTTGGTTGTAGAAGTGGAAGGGGAAGTGGAGGAGGTGGAGGGCGGAGGAGAAGAAGTGGAGGATGGCAGGCGGTGGAGATTACAGTTCTCTGACAAGCACAAGGTGGGACTGAGAGGAAAACACAGCGGCAATCAGTTTTACAAGATGCAGGGACACAGCACATCACAAACAGACCCCACAATCAATGGAAACACGGAGCCTCTTCAATATGCCATTAATGAAACAGTATCCACTCGCTTTTACTAGAGAGGCGAATATTGATTTTTGTCCTTTGTTTTCTAATTTCTTTTTTATGGGTATTTTTTTAACATAAATAACACTAATTGCACACATTAGTTCAAAGCTCAAAGGCAATACTATTTTCTTATACACAGTATGCAAATGATAATGTACAGTCAACTGGTCATTACTGCAAAATAAAGGGCGATTAGGTAACCTATTGTGACTGCCTTAACTGTACATTATTCAACTTATTAAATGGCTTCTTACCAAATAAATAAATATATAAATGGTCATGAAACATTGATTTGAATACAATTATTTTATAATGTAATTAGAAAAAGTCCATTGAATGATCTGAGAGACATAAAAGTAGCACAGCTACATATGCTGGAAATTGGTTGCCTGGAGTTATGAACAATTATACAGTTTAGTGGTCATTATACAAATATATTTGACCTATAACTAGCCAATCAGAATTGGCCCATTCCAGAATTCCAGCGAGCCATATAATAAATTGCTGTAATTTGACTATAGTACTGGTGTAGATTTCAATGAGGAGAATTACTTCATTTTGTTATGCAATAATCATAACTTACCATCTGTCACTGCTCTCAACCTCTGATTTCCTCTCATCATCACAACCCATATTTAATGCACGGTGGATTTTCTGTACAAATAACAAAAAGACCACTGAACAATACTCAATGAAGTATATACTCTATATAATCAAATACAATATGCCTACTACATAGGCTACAGACTTGTGCTTTCAGCTTCCTAACACTAGAGGGAGCAGATGCCCTGTTTTTATGAAAGGAACATGCCTTGTAACTTGGATAAGAGCATATATATACAGTATATATATATATATAACTAAACAATAACTATGGTTATGTGTAAGTAAAGGCACTAATTTTGGTGCGTTCAAGTCCTCCTGGGAAGTTCGTGTTCACAGCATGAGGTCTTACGGAGTAAGATGGCGGTGTACTTTCTCTTAATCAATTACACAAAAATACAGCAAGGTTCTTAAACTCTACTTGTAGAAAATGAGTTGTAGCATATAGTGGCACACACTCACCTGACTGGTGTGGAGCCAGTATTTGAATCTCTGCTGGCGGCGGAGGTGAGGCAGAATGAATCTGAAGAAAGTGTGTTCCCCCAGCAGTGTGAGTAAAGCACCTGCAACCCCCACACACAACAGCACGAACAGCCCCGAGAAATGCTGGATACCCATCTGTAGAGTCTGCGCACACATGCACAACAAGAAATAAAAACACACAAGCGCAGAAGAAAGGATCACAGTATATTGCAGTTCTGGTGATGACTGCACATTTCCCCCACAGGGTGTATCATTTTTTGAAAATAAAATCCACAACTAACATAATCCAAAAGAATAGCAGAAAGTCCACCTGCAATCAAGGGATTCTGTAAAACTGGTGATTTTATATATGTACATGTAGTTTCTGCTGATTTTTTTGTTTTTGTTGTGAGCAACCTATAAAACACCAATAGGCCTATTTAATTTCATACAGTAGATTCTTTACCAGTGCTCTTTTTTTTCTTCATTAAATGTGAATCCTAGCGGTTTGCTCTCTCCGGGTATATTATAGACCTCCCTGTGCCTGTCCCATCATTATTTTCCCCTCGGGTGTTGGAAGCCCCAGCATACACAAAGGAATCCATCATTCCCCATGTAATGGCTTTGATCTGGAGGGAGGAGTCCTGCTGACTAGAGAACTAATCACAATTTTATAAAGTATGGTCGTTATAATTGAAATTAAAGTCATGCGGATTTGGAGTAGCTGAAAAGGGGAAAATATTCCACTTCCTGTCCCTAATACATGTGTGGAGCATGCGTGCAAAATGAGACACTCATTGGTCATCTAACATTGCACACACAGAGAGACTGCAGTCCCATGTTTAGTTCATCACAGTCCCGCCACCTCTGTTGTGAGTGTGTTCGTTCTCTGCACATAACAGGATTGGCTCCAGCCCTTTATCATGATGTCAGTTCCCAAGAGAGTGTTACAGAATGGGATAGTGGCTAAATGCACATGCATACATATGCATACGTGCCAGTGCCACTGACCAGATGAAGTGCTCACTGCACTTCATGTTGGCTGCTCTGATTTCATTAAAATAATGCGGTAACGGTATACAATAAGGTTCTATTTTATCTTTTAAGATTTTGCCAACCTCTGCTGTGCACCTTCTATAAGAATGTTGTGGCTAGTGCTCTCTTCTTTGGTGTGGTGTGCTGGGGGTGGGCGCACACACATCTGACAGGAACAGACTAAACTGATTAAAAAGGCAAGCTCCATCATTGGCATCACACAGGAATGGGATGAACAAGTGGAGGAGGTGAGGATGTTGAGAAAAATAAACTATATCATGAACAATGATATGCACCTAATGATACATGCCTTAGAGGTGTTACGGCAGAGCACATTCAGTGGCAGGATGATTCCACCAAAATGTAAAACTGCAGTCGTTCCTGCCTGCTGCTATTAGGCTCTTTAATCTATCTTTTAAGATTAGTTTTGGATTTAATGTTAATGTTAATACTCAAAAGAGATCTAATAACAGAAATAATACATTTTAAAAGAATATTGCAATGTAAAACAAAATTGTATAATAGTCTAAATTTATATTAAATGCAATTAGATAAACTTTAGAGTGTTTTTTTTTGTAGGACTCGAGTACATCTTTATAATGTAATTTCATTTTTACTTCTATTGTCTGGTTAAAGTGTACTGCTGAACATACCGACAAGCATCTATGGTAAATTTAAATATACTTTAACTTCATTTCTATTGAAACGTGTATGTCATGTATGTAAATATATTTGTAATTACAAACTGTAATGATGAATCTTTAATTTAGTACATTTAAAATATATTAGCCTTAAATGTAATATTAGATAGCACGCTACAAATAAAATTATAAACAAGTAGCCTAATCTACACATGCTATACAGTATGTTAGTCAACACATCAAAATGTTGTATTTTAAAGCATGGCAAAAGATTATTACAACATAATGATTTAAAATATACTTTAAAGTAAAAACATTATTAGAAAGTGCACTTCTTAAAGATGAGAATACTACACTTTCATGACTATGTTTCTTAAGCACACTTAAATGGTCTTTTATTTATTAATATATTATCTGCAAGGCCATTTTTTAAAAAAGATAAACACTTCAATTGCACATTCAATACAATTAAGTGCACTTATTTTTCACAAGGTAATACACAATCCATTAACTCTTATCCTGCCATTGAAGGAATTTCCCATCATTTATGAGACAATGCTTCCACACCATTGGTGTGTAATGACTTTCTCAGTTTTTTGTTCAAATTGTTGCTTTTTTTTTTACCCACATTCAAGTGTTGATAAATAAAGAATGCATGAATAAAATGTTTTCTTTTTTTTAAAGGAGAGGCTCTTTTATTTCTATTGATATATGACATGTTCAGATATTTATACAACAAAATATTCTGGGGGCCATGAAAATTTAGTGAAAATTATCAAAAATGCTGGAGGTGGCTGGCAACATTTTTTTTATGCTTTAATGCTTTTTAAAAAAAAGAAATACCTATAGTCCTGCTAATATTAAAAAGTAACAATACTCCCACATAAAGCTTTGAAGTTACTCTTCTAATATTTATTTGTCTTTGGCTTTATACACTGTTGGCCCAAATACAGAAGTAGTGTTTCAAATATGAACAACAAATATTATTTAGGTACAAATACTGGCATTTTGTTTATTCATAATTTAATTATTCATTTATTTTGAGAACATGCCAGATGGAGCACTTAATGTTGGATTGTTGCTTTAAATTCCCCATCGCTTTCATCCCCGCATCTTTGTATCTGGCTACGAACCAAGATGCTGTTTGAAGAATCCGGAGTAATTTAATTAAGACTGCATTACGTTGAGGAAATAAAATGCTGCTTTTTGCATTTGAAACTCCTTCTATAAACAGCTCTAGAATAAACATTCAAAGAGGACAACTGACTGCGAGGACCCCACTGTCGATCCTGTACGCTTGTTTGCAGAATTTATTGCACAGCAAAGTAGTGGTTTTACAACATTGTGTCTGTGGTGACAGGACAGCTTGGCTCCAGTGCAAGAGAGAGGGAGAGCGTGAGATGAGTTCCAGCTGGCACAGGGGCCGAAAACAAATGTCATTGCTTGTGCTCATGAAGTCCCCCATTCATAACCACAGCTAGGTAATGAAGCCAGACTGCACAAGACAATGTCTTACAGGAGTGCTACTACTCCTGGGAGGTTATTGACGGAGACTCCATTGATGGAGTGCGCTGGCTGCTGCTACTCAGAGCCTCAGGTGTGTGGGGCGGTACGCCTGAGCCCTTGGGAATGAAAATGGATTGTGGTGGGTCGGTGTCGCTCTGACAGAACGGCTATTAAACTGCAGGAGACAGTAATTCCAAACAAAAGGATTTTTCAGAGGGAAAAGAGCTATAGAGGAATAGAGGATAGATTCATAGAGGAACTTGGTCAAGGGCAGAAGCCGCTCACTCGCCTATGAAACAAGAACAGAAACGCACACATATACTGTACCGCACACTCTCAGCCTTTCTTTTTTGATGGCTCACCTCGGTCACAGCAAAAACCCTCTTCCCACAGGGAACCACTTTATACCACTTGTCGTGCAGCATGTCCATGTAACCGTCAGACTTGTAGCGGCTGACGTATTCAGACACGTTTCGGGTGAGAGGGGAGTTCTGGGGTAGCCCGATCCCGTAACCTGAGAGGATAAAGAATATCAAAACAACGATTTACACATACAGCTCAGCTCAGCTTAGCAGGATTTTGTTAAAGAGACCACATTCACATTCTAGAGTGAACTGATACCTCTATTACTCATTGTCAGAAAGGCTTGAGAAGGAACAATCATGATATTTTAGTCATCACATAAAAATAAGTGTACTACTTTAAAGCATGACAAAATATCATTAAAACAATTATTTAAAATTGACTTTTTATGTAAAACTTTAAATTTGCCAATTATTAAGTGTACTTAAGGGTGTTAAGAAACAGTCATGAAAGTGTACTTTAAGTAAGCTTACTGTAAGTGGCCTTTTATTTAATTAATATGAGTTCTTTAAGTACATGGAGCAGCTAAATCTTGAACCCCAGAGGAATCACCTGTTTTTTGTTGTTTTTTAAGCCAAACAGAGGAGATTCTGCTGGCAAAAAGAGAATGTGACAGAGCTCATAATAAAACGAGAATCAAGATTGGCTTGGCTTTTCGGAGAAGGCGAGAACTGGGGGATTTGAAATGTTGTAAAAGTGATGCAGAGATGTCGTTTATTACTCAAAGGTGAGTAAGGTATTTTATTGAACAGATAAATTGCCATATGCAGCTCTCTAAAAGAGTTAATTGTAAAACATTATCTATTGTGTCTTTCGTTATGGTTGGTTTAGCGCTGTGCTGGAATTTAAGGAAGTACCGTATCTATAGGTAGGCCTACAGTAATGTCTTCAGCTAGTCAGTTTAAGATCGTTTCTATCTAAACTGGTTATATCTCTTAAGCCTAGTAGTGAATGTTTTCTGAGCAGTAGGATAACCATATTCATCCGCACAGTCACGTAAAGCCGAAGCACAGCCAAAACAATGTTCTTCTTCTGCAAAATGCATGCAGTTTTGTTTTTTTTATCTGCAAGAAGGCCAAAGGTTACATTGTGTTGTCATGATTCTGCCATCTAGTCCTTGTCTTTCTTTTAGTCTTGGGGCAGGATCATGACAGACTCATGTTTTGTGTACAAGCACATGGCCTTTTGTTTGGGCCATGTGCTTGTGTTGTCTTGTTACATAACCCCGCCCCCTTGTTATCCTCGTCTTGTCATTATTGTCTAGTCAGCTTCACCTGTTCTTGTCATTAGTGTCTCCCTATATCATCCCCTTGTGTTTGCTGTCCTGTGTCGGTTCATTGTGATTCTTACCTGCGTGTTACCTTTCCTTGTTAAGCCTTGTGAGTATCCTGTCAAGAGTATTATCAAGAAAGAGATCTGATATTCGCTGTTTGTTTATCATCTAGTCTTTTGTCAAGTCATATTCTAGTTCTGTCACTCCTCACCCTGTCCATGTTCTGCCCCCTCGTGGGTTTTGTTTTACCTGTTTTTGTCCATTTAATAAACTGTTTGTCAAGCACCCTGTCTGCACTTGGGTTCATCTGCAAAATCATAACATGTGTACCTTTAAGTGCACGAATTGTTTACAAGGCGATGCGCAATGCATTAAATAACATTAACAAAGTGAACCTTATTGTAAAACATTAACTTAAATCCTGTTAATATTAAAAAAGTAACAAATCTCCCACATAAAGCTTTGAAGGTATCTTTAGACAAACATGTTTTGATAATCTAGACAAATAAATAATTTTACACATACAGCACAGCCAGTAAAATGATCATTGTGCGGTTTTGTAAAAGAGACCATCCACATTCTAATGTGAAATGATAAATGATACCTCTATTATTGATATGTCAGAGAGCCTTGAGAAGGAACAATCATGAATCTTTGGCAACCCGTGTCAATGTACCGTCTGTCATTGTGGCGTCTCTGCAGCCGGAGAGATACGAGCGCAACTCTGACATCCACAAATTTCATCAAAGCCCTCGCCTCACCGGCAAACCCACAGATCGCAACTGGCAAGCAATCCCCAACCCCCCCCCATCTCCTTTCAGCACATGGCACAACATCCCTTGAATTCTGATAAACGTCTGTCCTCTTCTGCTGAGTTCCACTGCTGTATTTTGTTACTCAGCCCTCTACAACCAATAAATGTGTGCTGTTGAACTCTTTGAAGAGGGGGCACCGGCGGGCTGCTGGAATATTCTTAATGGAGTGGATCTAGGCAGTCATAAAGTGTGCAGTGCAAACTAATACAATAAGGGATTTTCCAGCAGTGTTAAAAGGACATGGTCCACTCTGAACAGACAGTTCTACTGAAGGGTGTTCGTTCAATTTGAGCAAAGCCTGTTTATTGAACTGATGCCTGGGGATCTCAAAAGTACCATAATTCAGTACCAAATCATGACAAAAATGGGAAAACAAATGAAATAAAAACAGAATATTAAATGTTAGATTTAAATTTCAATTTAGATGTTAAAATAAATATTTGAAAATACAAAAATTACAAATTGTATATAATTATATCTGTCTATCTGTCTATCCATTTATACAATTTATATTAATATAAAGACAGACAGACAGACAGACAGACAGACAGACAGATAGATAGATAGACAGACAGACAGACAGATAGATGGTGGAATTTCACAATACTGCAGCAAAAACTAATTTGCTATTGAACACGCTCCTTTATTGTGACAACCTTAGATACCTGACTCCAGTCTTTCGCCTACATGGTTTGATTATGCACCACACTGTTTACAGACCCTGACGGAGTTGTCCATTTCGGGCCAGTAGACTTGATTGTGGCGAGCAGGACGAGGCCGAGAGATGTGAGAGCGACGCGAGGCCGGTGGCGTGAGTGATAATGAGCGACACCTGTGAGACGCACCGGTCTCACATCTCTCACGTCCCTCGGCCTCGTCCTGCTCGCCACAGTGATAGTGATGGTTTAGTCTTGATCATCCATCTAATAAAAAGCTGACTTAAAGGCGTGAGGAAAGCTTTTGGCAGATAGCAGGGAAAATTCCTATGCATGCAGCAGGAGATAACATCCGGATGAGAGGTGCGGACATGCCTGGGTGACTGCCATGAAACCCATCTACACCCTGTAATAGCTTTCGCTTATGAAATGACATGTGTCAAAATTGACTTGCTTCAATTTGGAGGGTAATTACAAAAGCCTTGAGGTGAATTCATGGACAGGTCTTAATGTGAGGTGGAATTCTAATGTATCTGTAGAAAGTGTTAGAAACACCTTGTGCCTTTTTAAAGAAGAACTACACAGGCTTTTGTATTGCAAGCTAATATAATTCAATGTGACATGGCCAAAGGTGCTAGCCTTCTCAGAGACAGTAATTTGCTCAGTGGCACAAGAGTCCTTACCTTCAATAGCAAATGGTTTTCCTACAGTCAGGAGTTTGCAGTCTGCATCTATTGACACCTCGTAGTCCAGCAAAGCCTTATCCATGATGAAGGCATCTAGCTGAGGGGGATCTGTCCTTCAACATATAGAGGAGGATAGTCAGAGCCAAGCAAAACACACCGCCAGCCAAACTTATGGTAATTAATTACTGTTGACTTTAAATGACTTTAAAAGTTGATTACAACAAGCCCGAACCAAACCATGTAGCTATAAACTGCTTAAATCTTCAGGATTTACTGAATAGAAAGTGCTATTTTGTGTACAGTGTGTGTGTAACATCTTTTTCCAAACAATTTTTGAGTAGTACATTGCAAAAGACTTTCTCCGACCACAAAGTGGGACTTATCAATATGGGTGGCAAAAGCTGCTTTCACTAATAACACTGCCTAATAACAAAGCCAATTACAAAAACCCAGCATGGATTACATCAACCTAAAATGAAAGAATATATATATATATATATATATATATATGAATAATTCCACAATCTGTCTCATAATACTGTATGTCTATAGCTATAGTCTAAGACATTTTTGCATTTTAGATGCGTACAGGAATTCAAGTTTGGTGAACTCTGACCTGAGGATGTGCATATTTCCATTTTTTGAATGCAGTATTTGTAATTTATTAAAAACTAAAGCCCTAGAGCGTGATATCATTTACTGTTAGTTGTTTATGTCTGAAGAAATGCCGAATTATCAATGAATAGTGAGAGGCAATGCTTGCTTTTAAGCTGACCTCCATTTTACCTCAAGTGTGACAGAAAATAAAGTGCGGGAAAATTTTGCAGGATCAAACTAAGACTCTTACACAACGTCTTTTAAAGAAAAGAAAAAAATCTATCCGGATGCTTGTCCTAAAATAGGAGGGCTCCCAACTATGGCAGCGATCTCAACTCTAAAATGCTGACCATGTAAGGCGTCTCCTGTGAATCGAACAGAAGGATTTCTGACATGGAAGAAAACTGCCATCAATCATAAAAGGCAGGAAGTACAAAGTAAAATACTGCACTATGTGGGAGCCTGAATCTGAGGATGAATCGCTGTGTGCGTGTGTTTGTGCACGCCTGTAAGCGTACACTCGTCTCTGAAGAGAACCTTTAGCCTCATTCAGCAAGTTTAGATTTGACTTGAGAGTGACTGCCTCTCTTCTCTCCTTGGAGTCTGTTCTTTCAAGGATGAATGGAAACCGAGACAACAGACAGAAAGCCTGGAGAGCTGACACTTGTTGCTGTCGACTCCGTTGGTTTAAATCAAGTGAACTGGATGGTGCGCATAATTCCTCATGAAAAAGAAATGGTTTTAACTCTGCGTCATACAAAGCAGACGCACAGGAGTGTCAAGAGCTTTTGAGGCTGTAAGAACTGACATGTTGCCCTCTTATTGTGACCCTGTTCATTGTTGTAGTAGTAGCCTGCAGCCTTTCGGCTGCTTGTTGCCTGCGTGTCCATCAGCACTGTGCAATTACATGAGCTCAACTCCCTTCAGGCTTTTTCCAAGATGCCCATCTCCTTTGAAAGCCTTATTTGTTTTCTGCATGTTGCACTCCTGCTCAACACCACTTGATTTTATTGCCTTAACAGAATATAAATGTGTCTATGTGAGTGCGAGTCTTTATGATGATAGCTTTCTAAATACACTTTATTGCAAGTGTTTTTCATTCAAGGCTGCACAGAAATTGATTATTTCACAACCACTCTCTTTTTTTCCTCTTACTGTTACCTTTTCATTGGACTTTCCACCACTGGTATGCCCAAGTTATGTTATATGTTATGTTTTGTCTCTTCTCTCCTGGTTCAAACACTTACTTGAGTGTAGAGACTCCATCCGGAGTGGTGGGCTTGTTGAAGCGCCTCATGTACTCGTACATCTCAGGAAAGCTCTTTTTCACATAGTCCTCAGCACTGCTTTCTCGAACTGTGCCGAAGCGAAACCCTAGAGACGGGTGATGGAGCTTGAAAAAAGCAATGAAAAGTGAACTGACTGTGTGAAAAAGGTTTGAAAACATAATCCCATCATTTCCAAAAATAGTACTAAAATGCACCGTGGTACTATTATAGTTTTTTCGACATGTGCATGTACAATTGTAAAAAACTGTTTTTTGAGGACATTCACAATATTATGTTAAAAAGTATCAAGATCTCTCATTTTAAGGGATAGACATACTACAGCACAGTTTCAGTAATCAACAAAACAATATGTGTGTACTGTTCAAATGTTCTGTTAATCAAAACATCTTCATGGTTTCATCAACAATGTTAAGCAGAACAACTGTTTTCAACATTGATAAAAATAAGGAATGCTTCTTGCACACAAAATCTGCATATTAAAATGATTTCGGAAGGATCATGTGACAATGAAGACTGGAGTAATGATGTTGAAAATTCAGCTTTGCCATCAAAGGAATAAATTGTATTGTTAAATATGTTAAAATAGAAAACAATTATTAAAAATTGTAGTAATATTTCACAATATTACATCAAATATGTTTGTATATTCCTTTAGTAATTCAAGATGAAATGCAGTGTTTTACCTTGACATCATGAATCCCTGACACCTCCTCAAAGGTCTTCTCCCCCACCATGACAGCCGCTAGGTTGGCCGTGTAACTGGACAGAACCAGCAGGCAAAATATGGCCCAAAGGTTCATGAGGAAGCGGCCCGTCCAGCACTTTGGAGTTTTACTGGCAACAGTCCGGCCGAACAGAATGGCGTAGCAGAGGTTCAGGGCAGACGAGTAAGAGAAGACCCTAATGCGGTTGCGTCCATGCGGGGTCATGCCAAACGGACTGTTCCACTCATATAGGGTGATGAAAAGAGCTGTGATGTGCAGTGCCACAAAGATGCCCACCCACATGGACCAGTGAAGTGGCCACATGAAAGCACCGATGGGTGCAGCTGTGTCCTTGCTGCGCACCAGGATCCCTAGACTGGTGGAGAAGAAGGGGCTGGTGAAGTCTATCACTCGGCTTCGAGCTGAGTTGATGCTAAAGCTGGCGAAGGCCATATCAGCCACGCCACTGAGCAGGTCGCCCACCAGACCAGTCCATCTACCCCCTTTCCACGCCCCGTACTTCCCATCGCCTACGATGTAGAGGTCAAACTCAAAGTGCATGTCCTCGGCTAACTTCTCTAGCAGATCAATGCAGTATCCATAGCAGCATTTCCGCATGTCAGTTGGCAGTGAACTGCTGTTGGTTTGCTCCAGCTCTCTGAACAGCTGGTTGAGGACTTCAGAGCTGTTGGTTTGAGGGTCAAGGCACAGCTGACCCGCTGGACATTGGCCCTCCTCGTCCACCTCCCGTGTGAACACAAACGGGTGCTCGACCAAGGTCACTACCCGCAATCTGCTCCCCGCCACTGGGAGTCCTGCTTGCCAGCGGCCGCCGAGCCTAATCCCTGGACCGCCCTCCCGGTGGTGCTGGGTCATGCCTGGCCACAGGCTCTGTTCCTCTAATTCCAGATGGCCCGACTGCCAGCTTGCCACGGTCACCCAACTTGGCTGGCCCAGAGGGTCCCGCTGTAGGCTCCATATGTGAAAGCGCTGGGAGGTAAGGACCCTGGAGAGCGAGCGCTGTACTCGCACCGGGCCTGTCAGCCCCATGAACGAAGTGTTCGACAAGAACCTGAGCACAGCAGGGACATTAGAATTGTGAGGGGAATATATATGCATCCAGCAAAAGCAAAGACAGTTATGAGATGGCAGAGCAACTGTTTTTTGCTGAATCTCTAGCTAACCGAATCCTACACAAGAGCCAGAGGAGCTAACTAGTGAAAACTAGTAAAATGAATAAATATACAGTACAGAAGTGATAACATAAGAAATAAAGAAGTTTTTTTTTCTTTGCTATTTTATGCCTTTTTATATAATGGCATTGATTGATATTAATTGATTTAAGTACTGCCAGCTTTGTTGACTGGATTACAGTTAAATTTAAATAGATTTTTACCTTTGATAATTAACCCTATAAAGCCTACTGTATTAGTATTTAATGTGGAAAAAGGCCTCTAGATTATGAACAAAATCAAAACTTCGATGAAAAACCTGTTGTACACAATCTACTACATGCCTTCTGTCATCTGATTGTTTACTTTTTGTACTTTTTTAATAAGTAAAACACATTTTTGTATATTTCTAAAAATGTATTGTTAGTAATATTTCAAGATGAATACTTAATGTACTGAAGCAACTTAAGTTTACTTGAATATTCATACATCTTTTTTTATTTAGAACAATCGTTAAAAAATGTATAAATGTTATATTTATTTTATGTAAGTAGCCTGGTATATTGTAAGAAATATCTCATTGATTTATACAATCTATCAGAACTGTATCTTACTTTTTGGCCATATAAATATCAGCAAATGCACCAAATTGGATATTTTTGCTGAGTTTGGGCCTCTGAATAAAATGTTTTTGTTTTTTTCTCAAGCATGAGCTCCATATTCTCCTATATGAGCAATAAAACATGATAGCCAACAAAAAGCACATTTTTTTTCATTTTTTATTTTATTTTGTAGTGTTCAATAAACTGATCCACTTAAAAAAATGAGATTTTTCTGACTATTATTTCATACTGTATGTCCATATTTACAGGGTTTAGGTCCACTATAAGTAAAATATTATCAGTGTTCCAAACTCATCGCCTTTGACAAAATTCTCCATTTTGAAAACACAAGACCACCTAAGTGCTTAAATGTCAACCTTGTGTGAAAATGCCATTTGCTCAGTCGATCGCGTGTTTGAAACAGCAGTGTGAGCTGCACAGGAACTCAGCGCCCAGGGAATCTCACTGCCGTTGCATGCTTTACTGAGATCAGCCTCCAATAAAATAAAAAAAGGCTTGCAAAAGACATAAGGTGCAGTTTACCGTTTTTGAAGTCCATTCATCAGTTTATATAAGTGACACATATATATATATATATATATATATATATATATATATATATATATATATATATATATATATATATATATATAATTAGACATATGGTAATTTTTACAGTGAAAACTTAAGACAATTTTGGAATAATATTTTAATAATTATATTTATTATCAGCCTATTGTACGTTAAGGGCAAGATGACTTAATTCCCTATAGAACACAAAAGGAGATCAAAATGTCCATATGAAAATGTCCATACGAACACAAAAGGAGATCAAAATGTCCATATGAAAATGTCCATACAATGATGATCACTGTCTGTCATTACAGTATGTGTGTGTGTGTGTGTGTGTGTGTATCAAATAAGGATTTGAACCCAGGTCCCCTTGAATACTAAACAAAAATTACACCTGATGATCATGTCTAACTGTCATAGAAAGAAGTGCCACAGCTGTCACATAGTGCGCTGAAAAAAATTAGCTGCATGGTGCGTCTGCCAAGATTTAAATAATTATTCCTTATTCAAGAGCAACTGATTGGCACAATGATTATCCTTTTAAAATTACATTGCAAAATGTTTAATCGTTAATTCTCAAACAATATGTTTCACAGCATGCAGGAGAAAAGAATAAGAACAGACTGAAATATAGATCACTCATGAAGCCCACTGAAGTTCAAGGCTTTCTTCAAAGACAAAAGGACAGGATTATGACCTGAGAAACCTGAATCAATCACACTAAATTTTTTGAACCAATATATGACCTTTTACAGACAATGTATTTAACTGCTGAGCTGCCACCATATTCGTGCTGTTAGCTTAACATCCATCTGAGAGTAGCAAACAAACAAATATGTAAATAGAGCATGGTTTATAGGTGAATAACCCTCCATGCAGCTCTGGATTTTATACTCTTGTGATGCTCTACATAGATCACATAATTGTGATTTCTTACACAGCCGAGCCACACTGCTTTTATGGCAGAATATACGCCATGAATTAGTTCAATGATCGATTTTCATCAATAAATCAGCTGGGGATGTAGAGTAGTCAAAGGTTTGCTGGGCAATGTCTGGGTCACAGAGGGAAGATGAAAAATCCCAAGTGAAAAAGGCTTGTGATGTGTGGCTAAATGAGGCTATAAATGATATGCACTCTGTGTGACCATAACTGCACACTTCCATTAAAACAGGGGAGAACAGAGAAAATAAAAGGGCAAAAAATTGATTGCCTGGATCATTAATTTCTCCTGATATAGCCCTAGTTTGACCCACGGAGAACACTTGATCTGGTGTGAAAGCAGAAGTTAAAAGACAGGGGATAATATGTTAGCCACTGCAAAAGCTGATTTCCTAACTGAGATTTCTATCCGTGTGACTATTATTAAACTATCAGAAAGCATTAGCACCTCAGAGAACCAATAATCCCTGTGTGTCGTGTTGTTTTCACATTCTGTGCTTCTGTGCTATACACTCATTTCTCAGAGCAAATACATTTCATTACATGGGGTGGGGTGGGGAGGGATTCTCAGCTCACCTCTGTGAGGTGAATATTAAAGATTGCATCACTGCGTTCAATCCAGTGCCAAATCTCAGGGGTCCTCTGTCTTTTTTTCCCTTCATTTTAAAAAAAGTTTTTCAACTAAGCAAGACTCGTATAACAGCGGCACTTTAATCTTACATCTGAGGGTGCGTTTGCTCTTCTTTTTTTTACCAAAAAAAAAAAAAAAAAAAACTAATTTGCAGAAGTGAGCAGATAGGCAAGGCTTCTTCCAGCCTTCAGTGATAAGAGATCTCAAGTGTAAATAGGGACTATCACAATACAAACAAAACTCTACAGTTTGTTTTCCAGTTATATATATATATATATATATATATATATATATATATATATATATATATACATATATATATACCATACATTTTTTTTTCTACTTGCTATATTCACAAGTACATAGATTAATGGTCCTGATTTACAAACATCAAATTGTGTTTTTAAACACATAATACAAACCATTTTAACATGCCTAATAATAAGTGTTTAATCAAGGCATAATTAATACAATTAACATAATCCTTTGATTATGTGTTCTCATTTAAATACATTTCACTATCATTTAATTCTAACTGATTCTTAATTCTTAATTAATTCTCATCAGTTTATTTGCATTGCCAATAGATTTTTAACCTTTAAAAAAAAAAAAAAAAATATATATATATATATGTATATATATATATATATATATATATATATATATATGTACAGTATGTATATAGCTACAGATACAAGTATAAATATTTAACGTACAGAAATGCCAATTGCAAACTTTTTAAAAATGATAATAATAAAATATTTTTAATAATAGTAAACGCAGTATGAATGATTCCATTTAGATTTTTTTCAAACTTTTTTACATTAAGAAATTGAACAATTTATTTGTGAGAAATAATACCGAAGCAATATATAATAATATAGAAAAAAAACAACAACAAAAAACACTACAATTCCTCCCAGATTATTGTCTTGAACGAGAAACTGTAAATATTTTCATCCCTCTAGATCTACAATCTCTGTGTTCGGTGTTCTAATAGACAAGCCTCCCACAGCCTCCTCCACTAACACAATGATAACAATGCATCAATCTGAGAGGCAGTGGACAGGACTGCTCTGTGAGCTCTTGACATTGAACTGGACACTGGCATTGAAGATGAAGAAAGAGCCTGGCAATCTGAATGCAGAAAGGATTGTGTCCTGCATGCTTATTGAGGAAAGTGAGTGAAGAGGTTACGGAATTGTCACAAAAGGCTTTCACATTGCTGAGAATGATACATTCTGTAACTGCTAACTTGACGGTGTATGTAAATGCACACAGAGATATGGTTTTGATTAAATGTATTAGTACAAGTATAAATGTATTGAAAATGCCCCTGAGTCCGTTAATTGCATTTTAAAGTCTCCGGTGGTTCAATCAGAAAAATAACTTGAGACCATACTGCAGTCGAGACAGAATATTCCTGTAACTTTATACTAGTGGCTGGAATACTAATACAGCCTTTTTCCTTGGAGATAATGTACTACCTTATAATTCCCCTAATGCAAAATATGCTTAACATGTCTATGCACACTAATCACTAAAGGTGAAGTTAAAGCTTAATTGAAATGACTGCACTGCGTGATCAGATAACAAATTAATTCCTGATTACGTATCATACTTAAAATACTGCCAGGATAGACACTTGTGTTGGTGAAGTTACTCTACAGGCTGCTCATAATCTACAGCAGTTAAACTACAACAAAGCGATACTTTTCACAGAATAGGTAGCTAGACTACAATAAACTGATAAAAAATAAAATACTGAAAATATCCTTTTAATAATGTACTGTGTTCAAAAAATAATGAGGGAAAATATCCATAATATGAAATATAATAGTCTTTAAAGATGATACGAGATTAAAAAGCTTTATACTGGGTATAAACTTTTTTAAATGTAAACCATTAGCAGTGACATTTGGCAGCAAAACATTATACGTCTACACACTGCATCCTTAAATTGATGCTTTATAACACAGAGCTTTAATTTCCAGTTTGCATACGCTGCATACAATAATGTGACCTATGATATTTGACTCTTTGAGACACATATATTTAATAAATGAGGCCATGCATAGTTGTTTCCTTCGCTAATAATGTCAATTTCCAGATCCCCTATAGGAAATTGAGCTTGAAGGCTAGGGGTCCAAAAGCCGCACGTGTCGCATGCAGATTCCACATTAATCATAAATGTGAAACATGGTAATTAGGGTTTACTTGTGCAAAAAAACGTGTTAGGGCTGCACACATTTGTGTAATCTATGACACTTGACTCTTTAAGGCACATACATTTCAATAAATAAGACCATGGATATTTGTTTCTTTCGCTATGTCCTCTAACACAATCTCCAGTTTTATTGTGAATAACTGGGCTTGAAGACCATGGGTTCATATAAGCCACACATGAGTCACATAGAAATTGTACACTAATCAGAAATATGAAACATGGTAAATGGGGGGTAGCTGTGGAAAATGTAGCCTATTAGTTATAATGTGACAAACAACAGAAATGTAGCATTGCTAAACACTACATCGCAGTTGTTTATATAACTATAACTAAAACTAAACATTTTCCACAGGCACCCCCCATTAACCATGTTTTTTTGTCCTACATTCATATTTACTCCAGCTTGTTACTGGAAATGCTATTGTTTTGCTATACTTGAAATTCAACAATATTATTGATCTAACTGTATTCGCGGTTGTATGAGAACTGAACTGGACAATGGTCTTTTTTTTTTTTTTTTTTTCAGAACTGCTTTATAGATGAAATTAACTAATTGAATAATTGATGATTTTTACAACGGAACTGAATTAACACTGAACTGACTTCAGCTGAACAACAGCCGAAATGCATAATTTTCCTGTTATCACTGTAAAGCTGCTTTGAAACTATCTGTATTGTATAAAGCGCTATATAAATAAAGGTGACTAGACTGTTACACTTATGAAAATGTAGTTAAAGGAGTAGTTCACTTTAAAAAAAACTTTTGCTGATAATTTACTCACCCCCATGTCATCCAAGTTGTCCATGTCTTTCTTTCTTCAGTCGAAAAGAAATTAAGGTTTAACAACCGAAATGAACGAATTGACTCGGAAAAAGATTTGTTCATTTTGATGAACGAGTTCGAACAGGAGAGTTACACAGAACAGAGAAAGGCGAGCATGTGAGCTTATAAAACTTAAACGTTGTTTTTTTTTTTTTAAATGAGCGATCGTTTCGCTTGATAAGACCCTTATTCATCGTCTGGTGTCATTTAAAACCATTTGAACAGTTTGCAGTTTGCACTGAAACTGTCTTTTGGACCTTGAACCGTTTGGCTACCATTGAAGTCCATTATATGGAGAAAAATCCTGGAATGTTTTCATCAAAAACCTTAATTTCTTTTCGACTGAAAAAGAAAGACATGGACATCTTGGATGACATGGGGGTGAGTAAATTATCAGCAAAAGTTTTTTTTAAAGTGAACTAATCCTTTAAATAGTTTTTACGGCTCTTAAAAACAAGGCTCATTTTGTCAAAACATTACACACAATTCACCCATCCACAAACACAATTTTGACATTGTATGGCAAATATATGTTTTATACAATCTGATTCGGCTAAACCACTTAGACTGCTGTGCTCAATCTTACACTTGTTATTCTACTCTTCTAATGATGTAGTTTGGGTTTGATTTTTAGAGACATTGTTAGAGTAAAGGATTGGATATATTGACAAAACACAACACACACGACCAGTACTGCACATTGATGAAAAATATTTATTTCTCTCCACATTGTAAAATCAGTCAATACACCCATGCATTTCCAAAGGTTGCATTTTGCACTGAAAATCTGAACACATTCTCAATAGAATATAGTAGTATATAAACATAAATCTCTTTGTCTAGCTGGATCTGGCCATAGCACTTCGCCCACATCAGAGGCTTTGTCCTCTCTCACAAGACAGCGAGGGAAGAATATTCTTAAATGGCGAATCCATCCTTGCACAGACCCTGCATCAATTAGGTCACAGGCCTCCTTCATGGCTTGAATGAAAAAAACTCCTCAATGGGGTTAAGGAAGGGAGAGAATGGTGCGAGGTATTAGAGTTGAAATTGTGGATGCTCATGAAACCAGTTTTGGACCAGAGCAGATCGGTGGAAAGATATATTGTCCCAGATGACATTGTATCTCATCTGCTCTGCATCTATTTGGTCTTCTGCTGTGACAATGTTATGTAGTCTGTCTAAAAATGTGAGTATGTGGGCCGTTTTGTAAGGACCTAAGTTGGCAGGCTGGTGGAGGACTCCAATCTGCCTGATTGCAGCCAACATTGGGGGACATTCAAAATATCTCTGTGGGCAATGATGTTTCTCTCTTATTTTGTCAGGTTAAACTCAGCCTCATCTATGAAGATAAATTCATATGGGATTGGATCAGCATCAATTAGCAAATCTCTCTGGAAAAAAAGACAATATTTTGTAGTTCAATATGGGCCTACTATAAATTTACATGTTAAAAGGTTCTGTGTATTCAGAATAAAGTGTACATTACTCACCTGCACATATTCACGCCGCAGATATTTGACTCTTTCAGATGTACTCAGTAGAGTTGTTTCATCTGTATGTGATGTTTTTGAGGATTTACCACAGTGTTGATAGAGAGACCTGATGGTTATTATTGAAAACTGTGTGGTCATCGAGGATGTTTGTTTGAATTTCTCTGAGACCTATATCGCATTATTGCTCTCTCAATGTCAACCCATGGTTTACAACGTGGTCAACCAAGGTTGCTCAAATCGCATCTGATAAATGTGGTCCTCGTCTTCTGTTCACGTCCTCATCCAGGTATACCTCTTCCTCACCCTACCCCTCTTCCTTCACAGGCTCCACCTCCCATCCTCACTCTCCCTCTTCCTGCAATGTTGCCTTCCATTTTTGTTGAAGACTGGTAAACTCACCCGTTGCCTTTCTATAGAGCTTTCACCTGATTGTAGAGTTTACAATTAAGCACCTACGTATTTGATCAATTGGTTCATAGGTGTGGTATTTTGGAAAGTAGTGCCTTGAAATGGCAAAGAAATGACATGTTAGATTTCTGTGTCTAATGTAGAGAAGTGTGTTCAGTGTTTTGCAAACAATTGTGAGGCTGAATAGTTTTGGTTGTGCAGATCTGGACTGAGGTTTTGCTCCTTGAGTGTTAGGTTTCTCTAACTGTGTGTTATTTTTCATTTGAGTGTGTAAGCAATAATAAAAATCTATTTGCAACTTAGTAAGCTACTTAGCTGGATAAAGTTACACGTTTACCTGGCAAGGTACTGTCCAGAAGAGGGTAGCTCATGTTTATTGGGCTTGTCAAAGCAGTTGACCATATTCTGGATGAGTGCCAGGTCCGGTCTCACCATGGTCGCCGCATACACAGCCCTGCCAATGAGCTGCAGGGTATCCCTAATGTAGAAGTTCAGGGGCTTGCGATTCACCTCCCCATAAGCCAGAAGACCCAGCGGGGAGCCAATGGAGTGTAGAGAATCAAGACTAAGAGGATATCCCATGATCCAGTGCATGGGGGGCAATGCAACGCTCAACTGGTGGGCACTGCGCAGCACTGTGGCCGTACATTCAGGGTCGGAGCTGAAAAGCACCACGGAAGACGCCGGAGCAGAAGGAGTCCTGCTGAGGAGCTGTGAGAGGAGCTCCATCACCTTGTCTTCACTTGTTTTTTCCTTGAGTCTGGACAGGTTGAGGGTCTCCCAGAGGTGCCAGTGGGCTCCATCCAGGCCTAAGTGACCCCACTGTTCAAGCTCTTCCAGCATTACTGTGTTCCCACCTCCCGGACAAAGAACTGCCGCTCCACCCTGCCAGCCTCCCTTCAGCAACACCGCTAACAGCAGCTCCGACAATGCAGAAGGGGGAGTACGTGTCATCATCTGCAAATGGAAGCGGTTCTGAAACCAGAGAACATACACAGTTACTGTAGGTCTAGCACTGCGTGATACATCGAAAATAAAACCACGACATGTGATTATCAAACCACAAAGGCTGTGATATAATTTTTTCTTGTAATAACGAGAAGGAGGCGCGAACCGGCGAACATTCCAAAGATTTTATTAAAATAAATAAACTAATACAAATAGAAAGTAAAAGATGGCAGTCCCTCACGGTCGACTGCCGCCACACATAATAAAACAAAACATCAAATAAAATAGTAAAGGCCTGGTCCTCTCTCGATCTCCACTTTCGTCGCTCCTCCTTTATGCTTCCGCTCCTCCAGATACGAAACCGATCACGCAGGTGTTGCTCATCAGCAATCACACAACCGGGCTTGCGCCGTTCTCCCACGGCCCTCGTCCTGCTCGCCACAAATATATTTTCTCGTAATAAGATTCTATGTCGTTAAAAAACAAGATATTTTTCTCCTTAAAACAAAATATTTTCTCGTAATGACAAGATGCATGTCATTAAAACTTTGTTTTTTTTTCCGTAATAGCGAGATAATGTGATGTTAAAATGATATCACTGGAATAGTTTAATTTGTACAGTCTTTACTCATAATTGATGTTTTATGGAATGCATAACCTTGTCTAATTCTAATGCTGTGGAGTGTGATATGTTGTTTGTATTCCATTCTTGCATGTCTTTAATAAACAAAGATGGTCAGACTCTGAAGTAGGCCTTTAAATAATGAAATATGTGTAGCAATAACATGACAACAGTTTTTTGTTTCATCATAACTATTACCCGACTAATTATTATAAACTGTGGTTGATGTGATGTATCTGTGATGAACTGTACATCAATTAATCACAACAATCCTGCGCTATGGGATACAGCTGAAGTTTGTAAGTTTCTATACTAATTAAAGCTTCCAACTTTTTGAACGTGGACTGTGATAAAGGCCTATTTCTCAAGTTGTCACATCACGTACAAAATATGTGGTTTTAACAATTTAATATCTCGTTATAATGGGAAAAGCATATCGTTTTTATGATAAATGTTTTTATCATATGTTATTATGAGGAAATGCATCGTTTTAACGACACATTATCTTGTTATTACGGAAAAACATAATTTTAATGTCAACATCTCGTTATTAAAAGAAAATAGGTTTTATTGAGAAAAATATATTGTTTTAAGGATAGCATCTCGTTATTACGAGAACATTTTAATAAAAAATTTTTTAAGTGAAATCTTACAATAGTATTATTTCTAATGTTTTATTTTTCCATTTATTATTAATAATCATTATTATTTTTATTCATATGATATATGAATCACAAAATGTTTGGCCAAATTGTACATTCCTAAAAACAAACACAGCAAACCTGAATCATTAAAAAAGCTTAAAAAAACCCCACACATTTTTTAAAAATCACAATTGCAACTTTTATTAAAGAAAAAAAAAATCCCCCCAACAAGTCGTGTACCCCTAGTTAGGTAGGTCTTCACACTGACTCATCAAAACAAAAAGCAAACCCCACCATAAAATACATATATCTTCAGGCTCCAACTGCGTATTGTATTCCCTAATGCCTATACATTTGAATAAGTAAGAGGGAAGTCTGGAGAGAGTGTTAGATCTCCTGTGACTTCCAACTCCTAAAGCTGCCTTATAGGCAAATAGAGGAATATATTACTTACTCTGAACTTATGATGACCTCATATTTAAGAACCCTGAAAACAACACTCCTTTAGACGCAATCTTGGACGCAAACATTTGAATCACTTGAATGAAAAATAGACACTAAAACAGTGAGGAAGAGCCGTCAGCTCTCATCCGAAATAGCTCCTGGCCATCTCTACACAGACTCTCTGCTGTTTTTGATGTGGACTGACAGGGAGGCGTGCATGAATGTGGCATGAGAGTGAAAGATGGGATGCTTGGGTGTTCTGAGAGGAAGAGGGACTGTTTGAACCTGGTGGGGGGCTGTGAGCGAGCAGTACGGGGCCGCGGCGCTGAAGAGGAGTCCCCACGCAAAGTTAAAACCTGTGTGACTGGAATAACATTACCGCCAGCGGCTCTGACACGCGTCACTGTGACTTTCACTGCTACTTAGGGCACACATAAATTAGCACGCATGCTGACGACTCCATGCCGTGATGCCAAACAGGATGAATTTGAAGACAAAATATAAAAAACCACCGTTCATTTGGTATCGAAGTTCTGCTCTGCTGAAACAAAAGAATAGGACTTCAAAAAATAGAAACGGACCAAGGGGGTCCCGGGATTGTGCTGCGTACATATGGGAGCTTAGATAAGAAGAGAGAACGGGGCTGGCTTATCTTTTATTTACCAGTATATCCAGGTGATGCCAGGTGAATAGCAAACAAACAAACAAACACCTTCTATGTGAAGGCAAACCTTCAGCCTTGAAGCCTCTCATTGCTCAATCGATCTGAAAACAGCCGCTCCTCCAAACAATACCTGTGAACGGTAGGACATTAGCCTTCTCACTTCTAAATGGATCCACAAGCTGACAGCCTCTGAACAGCATGAGCAGTTTGATTTGTTCTCTCGGTCTTGGAAGTTTAGTGGGGAAAACGTCTATTTCTATTTCCATTTCCACTTTTCCCACACCTTGCAAGCAATTTTCACAATCTGACTTAACATCAGGGAGAAATAAATGGGTGCTATTTTTTAACTGACAGCTCATAAATAGCCCAAATGTTGTAGAGTAACATTTCATTAATATCCAATACGGCCACATACAGGTTTTGCAGACCAATACAAACAGTAGTTTGGCCATCAAATTATCGTTCAGGTGTAGAGAAGGACGTGCTGAATCTATCTGTCATTCTCACACAGCAACAGCACCTGATCCATAAACAAACAATATATTATAATTGAGCTGAAAAATGGGAAATTACTGTCTATCTTCCTGAAACAGACGCTAAACTCTTGTAAAACCCAATGATTTCTGCTCCGATAGCTGATAAGCTTGTGTGGTACCTAATTTTGAAATTATTTCATAGCTTCTGCATTTAATTATGAAAAAAGAGAGACGATTCAGCAATACCACTGCATAACGATGATTTGCAAAACCACATATTTTTCATAAATGACTAGTCAGTAGGTTGTCTGTCACTATTTACTCATCTTCATGTCGATCTAAACCTGTATGACTTTCTTTCTTCTGCATTTTGAAGAATGTTGTTAACCAAACAGCTTTGGTGATTATTGACTTCCATTGGACAAAAAAAAAAAAAAAAAAAAAAAAACACCTTGAGACATTGCTCAAAATATCTCCTTTTATGTTCCACATTATATGATGGCAGAATTAAAATTTTTTGGGTGATACACCTCTTTAAGAAAGGGTGTATTATCTGCTTTTGGGTCATTTCCACCACATGGGTTAACAGTGCAATTGACACAGGGTAATAATCCTGAGCTGCCTGTGACATGAAAAGGCAGAAGAAACCCCCCAAAAAAATCTGTATGATAGACATTCTGTATGATAGATATTTGCCCTGGTAAAATATCTATCATACAGAATAAAAGGCACATTTTGAATGGTATTAATAGTGAAAGAAGTTTTAAAGAACCAGATGGTCTTTGACAACTAGCAGCATGCAGGGACTAACGGGTCCATGCTAACCAGCCCAATCTCCATACCTTGGGTCTTGCCTACAGACAGAAATCAGGTGTCTAAACCAAAACTATTTTTAACTTGACATGCCACATCAAAAACACAACATTCACGGTGCAAAATGTGATGCAACAGCCTAAGATTTCTGTCTGCAACTCTGCATGTGTACACAGAACAACATGTAAAAATAGTGGAGACTGCACAGCACGGTAAATGCTACTCAAAATGCCAGATATTCAAGAAATAATTAGGTTAAATATCTATAACCTTTAATTCCACAAAAACACCAGTCAACACAAAAATGGTGAGTTGGAATTCTGCAAAACAGTAGAACATTGGTCACATCAGGCGATATGAACCCTCCATAGTAATTGTCTTGACATTTAAAGGTGGACTTGTTACAAGAAGCAGTGTTTTAATACCGTGCTTCAAAGTGAATGAATTCAAAGACCATCTTTCCGAGGCATGATGTTTGAAATGCTAACGTCATGCTAAAATTCCCCCCAAAAAGAAAAAAGCTCTAGACCTTGTCAACCTAACAAATTCAGAAATTGGTTTGTGGGCGACTAGTCAACCATCCTGACTCATCCCTACACTGTAATCAACTTTGGTTCCACAGCGCTGTGCCAAAGTGCATTAAAGTCGTAAAGAAAACTGCTTATCTAGATGTAAAATTCTGCCACACAATGTTTTGAGGAGAGAAATATGATGGCAGCGAGAAATGCAAGGAAAGGTACATCAATACTGCTTGTTCTCTATTAAGAGTGACAGTATCTTAATTAAGAAAGACCACTGTTGGAACCGCTAAAGATTTACTAAGGTATGAATAATTTCAAAACACTTACACAGTCTTGAGAAGAAAAAAAATGCTTAATTACCGAATGAAGACGAGGCTCTCTTTATGGTTCTGACTGACATCTGAAGTGGATCGTGTGGGGATAAAGAAGTGATTTATGCAATGTATCATTATACATACAAATTGTTTGGGGTATTATGACCTGAGGAATGATTCATGCTCATGTATCTAGACTATTTATGTAAATCAGTCTAAAAAAAAGGATTTAGCATTATTAAGAATGGGTGAGCAACTTGTATGCGATGAAGATAGTAGCTATCATGCTTCATAAAGTGTTCATGTGGCTTAAAAGTGATGCTTAAATAGGCTCAGTTTGCCATACTGAGTGGCGTCCCCTCTGTGTTTAGTTAGCCACATCATTAGGCATAAGCGTGTCTTAGCAAATGTGTGACATCCCAAGTCTCAAACTGTACCCGAGGCTCACTTCAGCAGTAGATAAGCGGACAGATGGCAGCTCTTCATAATCTCTGCATTATCATCAAAGTGCTTCATGTCTTGTTTTACA